TGTTAGAGGCAGAGCCAGGCACCCCTGACTCAGGCATGAACAATTCCACTCCTGTAGAGCTGGGAGGAGGACCCCTACAGTGTGGTGAAGATGAGCAGACACTCCCTAGCCCTCCCACACACCTACTTGGATCCCATTCTAGCCATGCCTGAGCTGACATGCTCTTAAGGTCCCTGAATAATTTCCAAAACCATTTCTTGCCACTGCCAAGAGCAGGCTAAGTATGTCTTACCATGAAGAATTGGTGAATAGTAATGTTCACTCCATTTTAATGTGCAAGAGTATGGAACATGCTTCTAATGTGACGAGGAATCCTGTATCCTGCCTGGATATAGAGAGCTCTCCAGTACACTTTCCCCAACCCAGAGAATATGACCAAAAGTCACACTTTCAGGCTCTTCAAGATCGTGAGCCCTGAGTATGTATATGAATGTTGATCTCCAATGAATCCAAAGAGATTTTTGTGTCCCCTCCAAATTTCTCTTGAAGGAGGAATGAGGTAGAGATAAAGATATTGTAGTGTGTCCCAAGGAAACATTTCAAAACTTTATATTAAGGTATCACATTTTAAAACTACTGTGAGGATGACAGATGATTCTGTAATATTATACATATATATATATATACAATAAAATTATATTATCATCCACACATTTATCCCAAATTCAAAATATAGTGATGACACATGTATATATTTTCTATTTTAAGACCTGTCTTTTAAAAACTAAAGTTTCCTTTCAAATAAATGAGATTTACAATCAAAGTTATCAAATTTTAAATCTTGCCACTCAGTCAACTGCATTCATTAGATTTTAGTTTACCTATGCAACCCCCCCAAAAAAAACAAACAAACAACAACAACAAAAAACACAACCGTTCCCATACTGACATTTAATACAGAAATTGTTAATTAAACTGATTTTGACAAGATAGAGCAGCAGCTGTGTTTCACCTGGAGAACGATAAAATAATATATAGAAACGTCATGGAATATTGTTACATCAGGGAAAGAGAAATTCATGTACAAGGTACCTACTTTCTTATGATAATATCAAGATATGAAAAACCTCATCAAATAACTTGAGATTTCTGAATATTAGCCACATTCTAGGCTTCTAGAGCATGGTATGATGAATTCTCTAGAGATTTGTAAAAGCTCTTGGAACATGTGTAGTGCTCAGGGGCAAATTTGTCGATCACATCCACCGTGAAATATTATTTCTGCAATACAAATGTGTTTATACTAAAATTCATCAAATGATATTGAACAAAATATAATATTAAAAATATTCAGAGTCAAATGGTCAACATTTTTTTGTTTTTATATGAAGCTGTCATGCATCCTTTACATAAAAATTGTGTTGTACTATGTGGAAATGACAAACACTAGAATCACACAGTTGTAAATCACATCTTTGTAGAAGGGAATAAACAGCATGACTGCATTGTATCCAAATGGCTGGTGGGAACAGAGTGGACCTGTGCATTCAGAACCAGGCAGACTGGTACTGTGCCCTGTGGTTCCCTCTCTCCTAGCCCAGCAGCAAACTTCAGAGCCACTGCAGTGCTGGCCTCTGGGATAAGTGAGCACATACACCCTCAGGAAAGGCCCTTAGCGCTCACCTACATTTTATTCCCTTCGTAGTAGCAACTATTTGTTCCCCAAAAAGAAGGCTCACGTACCAGATGTCTGCTGCAAACCTCAACATCTAGCTCTATGCTGCAGCTGAGAGCAAATGACTATTTTCTGCAAAAGAATTTATTCTAAATTTTTAAAATTTCAGTTATTTTCAATATCAGCTCTAGAAAGCTGGTTTCTTGAATATCAGTTGGAATGATCCTTTAAATGTGTGCTGTTCTCTAACTGGGCCCATAAAATATGTAATTACAAATATATTGCCAATTTATGATGCCTGTTTAAAGATCATTATGGAAAAATAAAACTTCCTCAGATATTATAGAGTGAAATATGTACAATAATAAAATTCTCTAGGTCATCACTGGATGGTACTATAAAAACTATCAAATATAGTATATTCCCCTTTCATAGCTAATCTCTGTTTCAGGTTCTTTTCAAATGGCATCTTAGTAATTGCAAGTCTAATTGTATTATTTATTTAATAATTTCTATAGACCCTGATCCAATAATAGTGTACTAGCTGAGAGGCCTTAGCCAAGTCACGTATTTTCCCTGTACCTGTTTTCTTATCTATGAAATGGGAATAGTAAGTATGACTACCTAGCTCTTAAGAATTGTTATGACAACTTGGTGAGTAAATAGGTGTAAGCATTTAGAGAAGTCCCTGACACTTTATAGGTTAGCTGTTTTTATTATTATTTGCCAAACTCTCACTCTACCTGGCATATACATGCGTGTGTGTTTTCCAAATTACAGCTTTCCCCAGTTCAGGACTGAGACTTGCACTAAGCTCCTCGCTACTCCATGAATGTGGACTGAATCACCAAGCACATGGCCTGTCAGTGTGCTGAACTGGGGCTCTTCACACACTCAATCTCCATTAACCACTCAGTTCTTCAACATTTATTGAAAGTGCCTACCATGTATCAGAAATGGTGGTAGGTTCTGGGGATGTTTCCAGCCTCTACTGAGAGAGGCAAATTCTGCCCTCAACAAAAAAGGGGTAAAATAGGATAGCTGTTGGTCAGGCAACTATAAGTGCAGCACATTCCTCCAAGAATGGTTTTATTTTAACATGGATAATCGCTTAGATCCAAAAAAAAAAAAGAGAGAGAAAGAATGAGCAAGTGGATGAATGACTAATATGGAATGCCAAAATCCAAACATATAGGAGACCAATTTCAGAGAAATAGTAAAGTGTTCTTTTTCTTGAAATCTCTCCATATACAGAGTGTAGTCACATGGCTTATTTGCTGGCACCTCTGAGTCAACACCCTCCTTCTTTGAGCTGTCCCTCTCTCTTCTCTGGATACATGGTTTGAATGGGAGCTGTTATGTTATTTTAGATCTAATCCCCACCCCAACCCCCCCATCTCCTGTGATGTTGACAAGTCCAGGATTAGGCCCCAGACTCAGGCTGGATTAATGATAGCATTATGGCCTCTTAGCCTTGGCTGAATACACCAAATGTGAGTCTACGACCCCAAAACAGTGACTCAGAATCCTTCCCTGGGTTTTTTCCAAATTAGAATGAGGAAAGGCCAGCCAGTGCCTCCCTGGGAGTGGGACCAGCAAGCTGTGGGATGCAGGTCCTGGGGAAATAGGACAGAAAGCTGGCCTTGAGTAGAAAAAAATGACACCGAAAAGCCGGGGAGCAGAGATAAGGCTGAGACAGAGAGTCCCGGCAGTGTTCACATCCCCGGTTCCAGCTCTCCCTGCAGCCTGTGACAGCCCTGCCCTCCCAGAGGTTGATTAGTCACACTTCTTCAATCACATTTGACAACAAGGCAGCCCTCCAATAAAAGACCTGGTTTTGCCTCAGCTAGTTTGATCTGGGTTACCATCACTTTAACCAAAGGAATTCTCCCTAATCCAGGCGGTCACTCATCCCACCCATTCAAAAGTGTAGCTGAGCAGTTTAAGTCCTTACTCTATCTATCATCTGTTCAGGTTTAATTCTCAGGGTATGTGAGTATAACACTAAAAGAGGAAAAATGCAAGGAACTCAAAAGTTAAAAGTTGGAGTTAATATATAAAATTCTTATGTGTGGTCCATTAAGACTAAATTGTCTTGAAGAAATACACTATCCCAGAAACAATAACCACTTTGCAAATGGATGTTACCTCTTACAGCCATCACTTCAGTCCTACAAGTCTGGATGGCTCAGTCCTCCCAGACATTTTGCTTCTGGAGATTTCAATAGTTTTGGAGGATAGATGAGTGGTATGACTTTACTTCATTAATTTACAAAGGTTCTGATTTCAGTCTCTGTAAACTGAGTACACATTTATTTTCCAGCTATTTATACTCTCAGAAATTCAGGTCTAAAGGAATTTTAGGAGACTTGGTTCTAATGCAAATTCCTAAACAGCAACAACAAAAAAACAATTCAGCAGATCTTGTCCTGTGGTTCTTACTTACTCTAGACCTCTCTCCTTCTGTCTCGTTGGGAAAATGTAGGATCCTAAGATTTCATTATGACAATGTGTCATCGATGAAAGCAGAGTCCTGAAATGGTGAAGTGGCGAGGGGTAGTGGGCCATTAAATGAGTTTAATGGCTCATTTAGGCACAGAAGGACCATACCTAAAGTAATATGGAGCAATACACACTCACTCCTCTGCTAATTTGTATATAGTCCAAATTACAGCCTCTGATACATGTAAAAGCAATATAAAATGAAAAATAAAAGCATGGTTCGAAAAGACTAGTCTTTTATTACTGTAAAATATCTTTATATCACTGCAATAGAGAATACTATGGACAATCTGAGAGTTCACTCTGGAAAGCAATAGAGCTGAGATTTAAACTATATTTTTCCTAATCCACTGCCCATATTTTTCAAACCAATTTATCTAACTGCTATAAACTTGTGACGAGTGAAAATGCACACACAAAGAAACTGACAAATCAGTTAAGTATATACTTGGCCAGTTCAGTTTCATGAGTTGTAAAATTTTAATTGACATTAAGTATTTGTTTTTAAAATGTTCTGGGTTTGGTTTATAAATCAGCAAGATATATTGCCCTAAATTTCGTGAAATTAGGTTACATAAGATAACAACAAAAAAGCCATACAAGTTTAATGTTTGTTTATTAATTTCTCAGTGATTTGTATTAGCTTAATCCAATCTTCTTTAGGTCTTAAACATTTTATATTGATAAATTTAAAAGTCAGAAATTATTGAGCAAAATAATCACAGTATTAATTTGAATTTAAATATTAGGAATGCATGGACAAAATCCTAACAAATGAGCATAAATAAAAAAACAACAGAAACAAGAAAATATATGATTATGATCATGTTAAATTTTGAACTTGCTGTTGCACAACAAATTAGAATTGTTCATTGTTAATTTATTAATCATTTCCAAAAAGTGTTGGATTATAGTTTTCAAGAATTACTTTTAAAAACTCTAGAACTAACTTTCTTGCAGCTTGTGTCCTCATTAAAATTTTCCATATAGCCAAAGATAATGACCCTGGAAAAGATATAAAAATTTTACAAGTAAGTTTAAATCCAATTGTAAAAATGTTTATTTTAAATAAAAGTCTATGTATTTTGCATACAAATATTGTTCTTTGCAGGATAATTGCACACATAAATTTTTAAATTTAAAATTAATTCACCAGCTCTTCATATAAAAACCAGTAAGAAAAATGAAGTTACTCACCAGAAAACTGGGTAAAGTGAACAAACACATTCAAAGATTGTAAATTCATTAACAGTGAAGTAACATCTTCTACATAACAAACTAACACAAATTATAGAAATTGTTAGATGATAGTTGGTTGGAGAAAACAGGAACCTTAATTCAAGTTTTATGACAAAAATGTAACCTCTTGAAAACTTCCTTGAGTACCATTGACAGTATTTTTGAAGCAAGGATCTGTTAATGTACAAGAGGTAGCAATTTGGAAGTATCCAGAACACTTGGTCTCAGGTCTACTTTTTTCTTCCCAGACTCTTTGGGGATGGGAGGATAAGGCTTAGTTTCCATTTAATTTTCATAAGCATCCTTTCCCCCTCTCTATGTAGTGGTAGTATGTTGCCTGATTGGTGGGTCAGAGCATTGGCTCATGTTTCTCAGTTGACTATAGCTAATCTATTAAAACCCCAAGACCCTTTCTAGACTAAGGAGGAAATTTGGTTAGCCTGAAATTTTTAGATTTGATTAATGTTGAATCAGTTCCACTGTGACACATCTAGCAACAACAGCAAAGTACTGACACCAGATTTCAAACTATCCTAGAATATAGATTTCAGTATGCAGTATGATTTGTTAAGGAGAAAGAGCACAGGCTTTAAAGTAATCTAGCCAGGATGCAAATTTTACCAGCTGGTGAATTATTTAAATTTACAAAGCCTCTCTTTCTTTCTCAGTAAAATATTGGACCATTGCTGGAGCAAGAAACGTCAATTGCTTGAAGCCTCTAAAATGCTTGGGTGTATTTGTTACTCTTAGAATTACAAATAAGATTTCAAATCATATATTTAATGTATTTATTTTTACTTTGCTTTTATACCTTTCATAGCTTTCAGATTTTTTTTTTGTTTTCAAAATACTAATATTTTAATTATGTTTTAAGTTTAGTTCACTGCATAAGAGCATGCCTGGAAAATTGATATAATGTGGTAATTCAAACACATAATTATAAATTCCTTTGTTTTTCACTAGGAAACCCTACAATTGAGGGAATGGAGCAGAATACTTCTTCCGTGACTAGTAAGGCTGGATAAAGGGAGCTCATAGAAGTCAGTTTGCTAGTTTTCCCATTAATTATGGCAGGTTTTCTTTTGAGATTCCTTTATTTTTTCTAAACTTAACAGCCATGAATAAAGGGGAAAAAGACAGAAGATTATAACAACAACAACAGCAACAACAACAAAATATAAATATGAGTTTGTAGATAAAAGAAAGAAGTTGTTTTTGCAGTAAGAAGTCTGTTGGCTTGTGGGTCAATAAAGATTCATAAGAAAAGACAGGCCATGAGTGGAAGGATCCAAACGTGTAAAATGGATAAATGGATACCTATAGGAAATGATGACTTTCTTTGAAAGTGTGCATTGTAATTATACATATATATATATATAATCATTATTCCTTCCTTTATCAATTTAAATGAATATTGATATTCTTTAAGATATTTTTCTTAAGATCGTTACCTGTAGAGTTATCTACTTCATGAAGAAGATTTAAGCCAAACAGGACTGCATTCTGAAGTTCAGTAAAGTCACTGATGACGGGGGCCCTGTCCCCATTAACAAGCATTCGTGGTGGCAGAGACTTCTGGAAATCATGTGTTAAAGTCAAGTTTGTAGGAAGCCTGACTACAGCTATATATCCTACAGCACAAGACCAACTTTTTCCAAAATATGCTTCTGGTTGAGAATAATATTCCAACCTAAAAGACAAGTGAAAACATGTACACTTATAATTAGTCCACTCAAAGGTTTAGCCTCATTTCCTAGAGAAACATCATCTTCTGCCAACCAACTAAGAATGTATTTAATTTTAGAATGTCATGGCTTGTGCTCCTCCTACCTTTGAAGATACAAATATACGTAGTTTAAACTTTAATTTTGGAAAGGACTGTCCAATCAATTGTTTATATTTTATTGAGTTTTTATCACTTTTAATAAGATATTTTATCCTTGCATATTATATAACAATCAGATGTTAGACTCTGAGTAAGTAATATTCTTTGGAAATGTGCAGATAAAAATCAAAGTTTCCAATGCAGAATTTTTACCAGACTCAGGCATCCTTTGTAAAACTGAAGTCATGAGGCCCCTAAAATATTGAGCATCCTAAAAAAATAGATGTGCAATTTTCTTGTCTAATTTTTTAATACATGGGTTTTTCCTACTAGATGAAACTTTCTAGGAAACCAAACTCTCTTACATATTTAGGGGACAATTATTACAGTAAGGTTAAGGGTGTAGCAAATTATTTTATGACTATGTAATTCATGGCTCCTGGCCCCATTAGCTATCTAAGTTTGTAGTTTTTTGTGTTTTTTTTTAACAGACTCTTTCCCTCTGAAACGTTGTCTAATCCCTGCTTTGCTCACCAGCTACATTTTCCTTCATGTGATATCACGGATGTCACTCCGTCACAAAGTTTTCCACCTGACCTGAGATGGAATTGGCTATTTCTTCCTCCTTTATATTCCCATTGCACCACATTATTTGTCTATTTAAAGTTTGTTTTCTCATTATACTACATTCTAATTTCTATTTCCACAGCACATATGTAGAATCCATTAAATAGAAAGTATTTACATTATGTTTGTCAATCATAAATAAGCCATAACATAACCCAGAGGAGAAATCTTGCTGTGTTTGGCTCCCACGCATGTGGGCTCCTCCCTGACTCCAGCACCCAGAAGTTCAGGGGACCCTTGGTAAAAGAAGAGCTTGACTAGCTTTATTCACATCACAGCTGACTAGGAAATAAGGATAAAAGGACCTGTGAATTTATACGTGTTTTGAGCAATGGCCGCAAAGCCCTAGTAACAATGAATTAAACTCCAAAGAGTCAGCAACACTAGGAGAGAAAGACATGAGAGCACCAGTTCAAGACACAGAGGACAAATGAGCGGAAGCGAAATTCAATGGAAGTCTTTCAAATGATTTAGTTGAATGTATTATTTAACAATTTATCTAATGTCAGTTGAAATGTGGCCAAGTAAAAAGATAAAAAGAAACCCTAAAGGCTCATTTTAATTTAAAATATAGATATACATGCACCAGCAACTTTTGGACCCAAAACCATTGAGCTTTATTTAAGATATGTAGACCACACAGAGTTCAGTATTGTTTCATATAAATAAAAATGCCCTCATATATTTTTTACCTAAAGAAAGTAGCACATGACTTTTAAGGAAGTTCTCCAGCATGTAATAGATTGTAAACATATCCCCAAATATCAATTTTTTTGGTGTTCCTTCCCTGCTTCAGTGGGAGAAGGGGGGAAGTGGGGAAAAGAGAGAGACACAATTTTCTGTCTCTGGCTCAGCCATATGATTTGATTTGGTCAATAGGACATTAGCCCACTTGACACAGTATAGGCTTGAAATATATTTTCATAATTTAGATTCTCTCTCTTGCCATTCTGTCCTCACTATAGAAAACACCCAGGCTTGCCCGATGGAGAATGAGAGACAACTGGAGCAGAGCTGAGCTTCTCCATGCAACCTTGTGGGGACAATCAAAACCAGCCAATACTTGATGAGCCCAGGAGACATCAGCAGGCTGCCCAGCTAAACCTCAGATGTACGGGTCAGAACAGCTTACTGTTGTGTGACGCTGAGGTTTAGTGATTGTCAACTGTGCTGCAGCCTTGTGAGAAAAAATAAAGGAAATACAGGGCCACGCACAACAAACTGCAGAATCAGGATTTCAGTCCTGTTGATCTGGTTTTGAAGCTCATGCTCTTTACTACTGCCCTCTACTTCTTCTTGTCATGATGATAATAGTTACTTTGTATTGAAAACTTCCCATGTGTCAGTGGCATGTTAAGCATAATGCATAGATTTCTTAATTAATCCTCAAAACTACCCTATATAGTATGTACTATTATTATTATTTTTTTAAGATTTTTACTGGGGAATTGGGGAAGGGAACATTGTGTTTTTACAGGACCCATCAGCTCTAAGTCAAGTTGTTGACCTTCAATCTTAGTTGTGGAGGGCGCAAGCTCTGCTCCAAGTCCAGCCACTGCTTTCAATCTAGTTGTGGGGGGGTGGGGACGGGCATAGTTCACCATCCCATGTGGGAGTCCAACCGGCAGCCTTGTTGCACACTGAGCCATTCGGCCACCTGTTGGCAGCTTGTGGCTGCCCAGCTCAAGGTGCCATGTTCAATCTTAGTTGAGGGGAGGTGCAGCCCACCATACAGATGTCAAACCAGCAACCTTGTTGTGAAACACGTGCTCTCACCAGCTCAATAGCAGCTCAGCTCAGGCGCAGCTCACTGGCCCATGTGGGAATCGAACTGGGGACCTGTTGCTCAGAGCTTGCACTCTTAACCAATTGAGCCACTCAGCGGGCCCCATGTACTATTATTATTATAGGTTTAAAGATGAGAAAACTGAGTTTATCACTGTTGGAATCCTCAGGTCAAATGAAATCTGATCTGTTTGTCCTCAAAGCACAAGACCTTAACCTCTACATTATTACTCTTTTTCAAGGAATCATTAGTAGCCGAAAACCTCCCAAATGAATTCTTAGGACTGGACAAATCAGAGGGCACATAAACAAGTGTTTGAAATCTTTCGTCTTGGTAATCCTTAAAGATTCATGTTCCATCAACATAAGGTGTCAGAAGAATTCCATTTGGCTGGAGTTCTATTTTCCAAGTTTCAAGTGACATGAATTGATTAAAAGCTTTCATTCTTAAACTCAGTTAGTAATAACTTTATCTATAAATTTATCTATACTATAAATAGATGAAACTGAAGTGAACCTATTAAAAAAAACAGAAGGAAATTATTTCAATTAAAGAAATTGAACTTTTCAATAAAAATGCTGATTTGTATAACTCTATCAATTTTTACTACCTGTTGCAAAATCTCCATTAAAAAGCGTAAACTCGGAAGGACTGGAAGAATAGGAGGGGAGACAGGAGTAACAAAATTTTGGAGTCTGGAAATCAAATAGGACAAATTAAAGAAGATTTAATATAGTCATAAAAGTAAATCCTAAGCAACCAGAGAGAAGCTAAGAAATAATCCTAATGTAATTTTTACAATATCTCCCAAATAAAGACTGAGTGGGACCCTCTGGGTGAAGGAAGTTTGCTAAAATCAAGAGTGATTCCTTGAGGGGCCGGCCGAGTGGCTCAGTTGGTTAAGAGCTCGCTCAAGAGTTTGAGCTCTGAGCAACAGCGGTTCGATGCCTGGCCCAAGCTGAGCTGCTGCTGAGCTGCCAACAGGTGGCAGGATGGCTCAGCTAAAAAACAAACAAACAAACAAAAAAGAGTGATTCCTTGAAAGTCTATTGAAGAAGCAAACATATATAAAGATTCCCTCCCAAATTCCAAGTAGGAGGTAACTACTCACACTTGAAAGACTAGAGCAGAAGGTCCCTGAACTGGATGAGCTAGTCACAGTTGAAGGTAGGGAAGCCACATTGAAAACAAGGGATCGATGTGAATATAGTATACCAGATACTAAGACTCGCGCCTTCCCCTCCTTCCTTCCTTCTTTTGACTTTAAGAATATTGGCAGGCAGGCCTTCACTTTTAAAGCAGGTGAAAGTGTCTCCGCTGGAAGACTGATTGACTCAAGAGAGAAGATAAAGTGATTGATGCTAAGAACTCCCTTAGTTAAATGGCTCAGCAACATTACCCTAGAAGGGTGTTCACAGTAGAAAAAGGCCACTCCTCATATAAGTGCCTCTCTTTAAATACAAGGGATATCCAGGTTTTACCAAATACATGAGAAAAGGCTCTAATGAGGATAAGAGATACCAAAACAAAATAACAAACTGAAGGAAAAAGAAAAGATTGATAAAAAGCTTACATACAAAAGATCAGAAATCATACTGGTTTCAGACTTCTCAACAGCAAATGTGAAGCGAAAAAGTAATGGAGATAAGCTTTCAAAAATCTCAAGTGTCACTAGCCTAGATTTCTGTACTCATATAAAGCCTCAGTCAAAAACCATGACAAAATAAGGATAGTTTAATAGATGAAAATTACCTTCATTTTTTTTTTCTTATACAACAGTTCTGAATCCACTGGTATGTAAGTCCTAACCAAAGCATGGGATGCTAGAAACAGGTGATTCAACACACAAAAAAAGGCAAACGAAATCCCCAAGTGGTAGTAGACACCTGAAGATTATACCTGGCCACCTGGGCAGATTAGAACAAACCATTGGCTCTGAAAAAAAGCCTCTTCAAGATGAAGAAATTGACATAATTCTTGATGCTTTTAAACATCTTGAGAAGAAACTTCCTTGGTTGCCAATGTGAAGTAAATAATTAGTGTTATGTACAATGGAAAGCAAACAAAAACACAAGAAAATTATCAACTCTAATGGGGATTAACTGATGAGAAAAAGTAAAAGTAATCAGCTTAGTACATTACCAAGATGTGAATACTGATAATAGTTAAAATAATGTAAGTGCTGAATATTGACCTAACAAAAATCACTAAACAACTATACAGAGAAAATGAGAGGTAGGAAAAATGTGTGTGAAGTAGGGGTGGAGTAAACTAAATGGTGATTTTTTTGTAGTAGTGACACAAAAGATAATGCCTAAAACTGAAAATCAATGTGCTATAAAAATTTTTTTTAGACATATCGAAATAGCCATACAAGTAGCTATAGTGGTATTCTCTCTAGATATGGCTGTTTGATTTATTTATATATTTTTGATGGAATGGGTGACCAAACCTCATAGAACCATTTGACTCATTAAATCGACATATAAGAAGTGGATAATATACAAACTAAAAATAATCCAAAACAAAAATGTTAAAGTATACCTGAGTTCAGTATATAAAATAAAGAAAAAGAAAGGAAGAAGGAAAGGAAGGAAGGGAAGAACACAGGAAGGAAGGAAGGAAAGAAGGAAGGAAAGAAGGAAGGAAGGAAAGAAGGAAGGAAGGAAGGAAGGGTCTCTCAAAAGTTCTGAAGTAGATCCCAGCAGCTGCAAGCATACTCTGTACACTGTCTATCCACTGTTCTGACTCCTAGGGCAGGGAGGCACTGCTCACACTCACCTGCCCTCTAACCTACTTGAGTGAGAGGGTAAAGAAGCATGAATGCACGTTTTGTTCAGTTAAGTGATGTCATTTGTGGTTTATCTCTTAGAATTGGAAGATTCTTTCAAAAGGAAGTGAATCTTATATTTTATTTCGCTTCATTTGTTCCTGCTTTGTTATACAGTTATGCATCATATTGCAATATTTCTGTCAATAACAGACCGCATGTAGGACGGTAGTCCCTTAAGGTTATAATGGAGCTGAAAAATTCCTATTGCCTGGTGACATCATAGCCTTTGTAAGGTCATAGTGCAATGCATTACTCAAGTGTTTGTGGTGATGCTGGTGTAAACAAACCTACTGCACAGTCAGTCATATAAAAGAATAACACACACAAATTATGTACAGTATATACTTGGTAATGATAATAGACAACTATATTACTGGTTTATGTATACTATAGTTTCATCGTAACAGTGTACACTTTCTACTTATTAAAAAAATGTTTGCTATAAAACAGTATTCAGTGTTACCCAGGCAGTAGCCTCATATAACTCATGTTTACAAGGTCTCTTGATTGCATCATTTTATTTTGTGTTGATTTAATCTTGTGTGGTTTAGATATGTTTAGATACACAGATATCATTGTGCTACAATTTCCTACAGTATTCAGTGCAGTTACATGATATACAAGTTTTTAGCCTAGGAACAATAGGTTATACCATATAGCCTTGATGTGTAGTAGGCTAGACCATCTAAGTTTATACCCCTATGATGTTCTCACAATGAAGAAATTGTCTAATGATACATTTCGAAGGACTTATTTCTGCTGATAAGCAATGCATGACCATACATTGAAAAGGAGGAAGCATATTTTTACTGTTTAGCAGCTATTAATATCCTTTAAGAAAGGAGGAAGAACCTTGGTAGATATTGACCTCTGAAAAGGAGTTTGGAGGCCATACTTGAAGGCTATGAAGCCACAGGGAATGTCCATCTAGCCCTGCCATTCACTAGTTGTAAGATCTTAAGCAAATTACTAAACAGCTCAGTTGCATATTCATAATCTACAAAAAGAAGTTATTTTGAAGTGACATATTACGTTAAAATACTTGGTGAAATTTCTTTTATTTATTGTACTTAAGAAACTGCAGCTATTTTAAAAATTAATTTAGGAGGGTCATTTGTTCACACCTAAATGGAAGAACAGGTAAGAAAGGTAGAATTTTAGGACATAAAATTAGTTAATAAGAATACAATGCTATTTTGTTATAATTAGTGAAGAAAGTGCTTCTAATAATATCAGAAAATTGATTTTTTTTGGTTTATATGCTTGTGATCAAATTATTTTTACACTGTCATATCTAGGTATATAATACCCCCAGGTTTACTTTTGAAGTGACTTGATAACCTTCTAGCCTATTTTGTGTTCTAACCTTAATGCTGGTTGATTCCCCCCTCTGCCCCAACAAGTATATACCTATTCTATATCTGTGATCAAAATAATGATTATCATTTCTTTTCTTTTTTTTTCAATAGAGAGAAATTGGTTGCATGTTTTATTTGTTGGTTGGTTGGTTGGTTGGTTGGTATGAGATTTTTCTTCTCAAATTTTTGCCCCTCCATAAAACACTTTTTAAGCCTGATCACACTAACATATTCACATCTCATCATTAAATACCCCAATGATTAGATATATTATTTAATAGGAAGGTAGACAGTCACTTTAGGAGGAGGATAAAAAAGCATAAATAAAACCAAAAATTGTTTGCCATATTAAATAAAAATGATGAGGGATCCGTTGTTACCTATCATCAAATGTTTTGTGAAGATCTTCCAAGGTTGAGGCATGAGCATCCCATAAGTACTTCAACAAGTCCTCAAAGCTACTAGAAGGTAACTTCAGGTGCTGTAGCAAAGAGCAGAAATTGATTTAAGTTTGAGCAACTATAACGATTCCTCTCCCTACAATTTAGTCTTTTTTTTTTATTAGTTTCAGGTGTACAAAACAATGCAATAGTTATGCTTTTCACCCCTCACAAAGTAACAACTCCCCTCCCCCAATCCACCGCCCCCCAACCCCTGATATCATACATATCTATTACAATTCCATTGATTCCATTCCCCACACTGTACTCCACATCTCATGACTATATATATGTATTAAATTATAGTTGACATATAATATTATTCAATGGCAGCTTCAGATGTACAGTGCAGTGGTCAGGCCTCTACACCATCCATGAAGTCATTTCCCTAACAAGACATGAGTCCATCTGGCCCCCTAAAAAATATTTATGACATTATTGATTATATTCCCCAAACTGTCTTTTCTATCCCTGAGGCCATATTGAGTTACCAATTTATGTTGTCTCGTCCCTTCCCCTTCTCCCTCATCCCCACCCCCGTCCCATCTAGCAATCATCAGTGTTTCCTCTGTGTCTCTGAGACTAAAATTTAATCTTGTCCACATTTACAATTTAGCAATATTCTACATGAGAGGAGAATTTTGTTTCTAAGAATTAATTTGTATAAACCACCAGTGACTGACACTCTGTAAAGGCTATAATAATATCTATTAGTAGTAGTAATATTAAGTGCATCTATAAGAAATGTACTGCAAATATTTTCCCAACAGTCAGTATTTTATACTGGCCAGGAGGATTTTATTTTTTAACATTTTTTCCTTTGCTCCCATAGTTGAAATTATCAAAAAAGCTTAAGGTTAAGAAAAGGTGGAAATGATTAGGGTATTTAATTTAAGTTTATCTAAAATAATGAACTAATAAATTATAAAACTAGTAAATCTATCTTTTCAGCATTGATCTTGGTTCATGTCTATGCTTAACCAATGTATTTTGTTTTGATCATTGAATATTTGGTTTTGATTGTCCCATATTTGTTACTTTTACCTGTATGTGATCTTTCATTTATTCAGTTTAAATGAATTGTTTAAAACCAATCCTAAAACCAACCCTGAGGGGTTGAGGGACTGGGTGAAAAAGGTGAAGGGATTAAGAAGTACAAATTGACAGTTACAAAATAGTCACAGGGATGTAAAGTATATATAACTTAGGGAACATTGTTATTAATATTGTTATAACTACATATGGTATCAGCTGAATACTGGACTTATCGGGGGTTCATGTTATAAGTTATATAAATGTCTAACCACTATGCTATACTCCTAAAACTAATATAATATTTAATGTTAACTATAATTGAAAAAAAAATTTAATCAATTAAAAAAAACCCTATAATCATATTTCTCCCAAGATTTGTTCTTTGATTGACCTGAAGGTTTAATTAACCACAATAAGCTTTATATTCAGTGAGATATCCAGTGAGCTATCACATTTATGTATAATTTATTTAGAGTGAGATGGGTGGATAGATTTTGTATTAATGATGTATTGGTTCAGAGGATATTAATGACATGTAACGCCCTGCTGCACTGTGACAGTATTAATATAACTTACAAAAACTACATTTTTATTCTTAGGAAAATATTGTATTATACACACAAAAACCTAGACAAAGCATTATACAAAAAAAGAAATTCTCAAAAAAGAAAAAGAAATTCTCTTCCCACCACCTAAGAGAATAAATTACAAAACTTAAAAAAGAAACCTGGTAGAAGGCATTCCACTTTCTCATTAACACAGGGAAGGATGACTGACAAGTAGCAACAGTAAGACAAAAGCGCGTCTGAATTTTGGGTGGTGGCAAAAGCATGACTTGGTCTGGTGATATCCCCATTATGCCAGAGTCAACGGCAGCAAGGAAGGGTAATGCAGAGAGAAAGTAATTCATGTCTGTAAGAGCAAAGTACTATTATTACCACAAGTACAGTATAACAAATATGATAGAGGATATTTTTAAGTAATCTGTAAACCATTAAGCAAAAACCCACAGATCCAGAAATATATAAAAATACTGAAAAAAATTGAAAGTCACCATAAGGATTGCATATTATATATACTCATATATATATTTGTATATATATTCATATATATAAATTTATATATGTATTCATATACATATATACATATACATATATATGTATATAATATATATATATATATATATATAAAACTTTAACATGTTTCTGTTAATAACCCTACAATTATAAGTAAATATAAGTTAAATAGTTGACTATACTATTTTAAAACAAAAAGTAATTTTAATGGATTTGGTAATATTCATTTTTCAAGGTATTAAGTAAAAAGGAAGATAGGTATCACTTGTGCACAGAATGATACTACACTTCTGACGTTCTACAATGAAATGTGATTTTTTTCTAAAATATTTTAATGTGGTTATAGCATTGATATTTTGTATTTTATTTAAACAAATTTAGTATGCAGCTATGATATTACAAAGTCCTTGTCTTATAGTAGGTTTTTAAAGTAAAAATGTTGGATAAGTGTTGATAATAGACCTTCAGATAATGAAGTTGACAATGAACTAAGTATTTCTCATTTTTTCTACATATAACCTATTCCAGTAGATTTAGACATTAGAGTATAGTTGGCTATAAAGCTTATACTGATTCTCACTGGTGATGCAGAACATTCTTCATTATATACTTGCATTTGTGAACGCAGTCCCATGCCCCAGTGTAGCAGGCTGATACTGCAAGCTACTAAGTCAATCTGAGAATAAAGAAACTTGATTCTAGACCTGTGGCCATGACTATTCATGGGTCTTTGAAAGGAACCAATGTCATTAGAAAAAATATGTGAAGATGTATATGATGTGTGTCACCCCAAGAAAGTGAAGTTTAATGTGGTTCTGTTTCTAATTATTGGAAAATGCCTCTATAAAATTGAGTGTAAATTAATTTCATTATGAAAACACTAAATAAAATCAAAGAATTAGAAAATACTTTCTGATTATTTGGTGATAAATACTCGAAACCTTAGATTTCTGATTGATAAAATGATTTGTGATGGGTTAATCTCTGATATAGTTACAAGTTTAAAAGTTAAACACATTTGATCTAAATGAAATGAGAAAAAAATACTAGATTATTGTTCTCTCATTTCTCATTCTTTTCTATCCTGCAGACTCCCCAACACTAGTGTGACCTCCCACCCAACTGCCATTGCTTGTTTGTCAGAGGCCATCATCCTTTGCAGTTCCTTGTTTCAGTCCTTCTCTGAAAAGCAGAATATGTCTTATAGCATATTTATTGACATTGTGGCTGTAAAATCCTAGAATGTGACATGAAGGCCACAAGGGACCATAGTGGGTAGATTTCTTTTAACATAGGAATAGCAGTTATTGTTTTGTCTCTGTCCCTAAGATGTTTCGTTGAATATTTGTGAATATTTCGTTGAATACTATCTATTTTCCTATTTAAATGAACCTACCAGCCCACCAACTGTCCACAGAGATGCACAGATGATTTCCAGATTCATAGCCACAGTCTGTCCTCTGGCTGGGATCAGCTAATCTGCCTAGAAGAGAGAGGAGGCACAGATTACGTATTATGCACATTTTAAAACTGGTTATAATTGTCACTTGATTAGGTGTGTTTTGTTTTGAAAGATGCACAAATATTTATCTTTTCTATCATTTTTTTTCAATTACAGTTGACATTTAATAATATATTAGTTTCAGGTGTACAACATAGTGGTTAGACATTTATATAACTTAAGAAATGATTCTCCCACTCATAAGTTTAATATCCAGCTGACATCTTATTACAACATCACTGACTATATTTCCTATGATGTACTTTACATCCCCGTGACTATTTTGTAACTACCAGTTTGTACTTCTTAATCTCCTCATCTTTTTCATCCAACGCCCCCAAGCTGCCTCCCATCTGGCAGCCATCAGCCTGTTCAAACATTTTTCTTCTGATGACTTGTTCCAACCATTCTTTATATCCTTCATTTCTCATCTCTGAACCAATTTATTTTCCTTTCTCTAATATCACTATGTTTTTTTTCACTTTTAAATTATCCACCTTGAATATTATTTACTTTAGTAATTATTCTCTGTTCTGCTTTCTCTTCTCCCCTTCAAAATTAGGGAAGCAATATGCACACAGATTAAGAGAGGCCTACTGTCAAACCAAATTCCTGAGGTCATTTCCTAGGTCAACCTTTGCTAAGTAACTGCCCACTTATGCCTCAGTTTCCTTATCTATAAGACGGGGATAATAATATTAACTAAATCATAAGGTTGCGTGTCAAGTGAGAAAAAGGATGAAAAGTGTTTCTTCCCATGAGTATAGTCTTTCTTTTCCCCACCAAATGACAACTGATATTTTCTTAATACCTCTCTGACTTTTCAGGTTTATTTTGTATCATTTTCCCATCTCCCTTGCTTATCCTTTGTTCATCCTTCTGATTCTCTGTCATACTTTCCTTCCCCTTTTCAACTGTTGTTTTCAGTATAGCTTTTTGTTTTGGTTTACTTTGTTAGTTTCTTACCTTACTTATCCACAACTTGTTCTCTCCACTCCTGCTAACTTCCTCTTTTCTTTGGCTTCCACCCAACTAAATCAAAGACTTGGTCTCATTTACTTCTCCAACTGCTCCCATGCTTTCATGCCTCACTAACCAATATGCTGCTTCTACTTTTGTTTCTACCCCTTCTCATGCGCACTCACTTTCTTTTCCTTCCGTTTTTGTACAATTTCACCATCTTCAGTGTGTGTGTGTGTGTGTGTGTGTGTGTGTGTGTGTGTGTGTGTGTGTGAGTTCTGCTCATTTCTTTTCCATTTATATCTTCAGTTCAGTTTTTTTCTTTTTCATTTTATTATTCTGTATCACTCTGCTTTCCTTTCGCTGATCATTCTTAAAGCAATGATTATGAAGAATTTGTCAATGCTATTAAGCTGTATGAATATGAGGCGTGTGAAGTTTTTTAATTGACTGTTCCTCAGACTGCTAAATTAAAGACAAGTCTGTAAAACCCTTCTCTGTTTCTTCTCTTTTATTTCCTCTGGGGGTTGTGCTGTTCCTCTTCCCATTACCCCATCACCTCCTTGTAATTTCACTGACTCTCAGAGTTCACCCTGTAGAACACCGTCAAATATCACCTTAATGTTGGTAGCAATTATTCTTTAGACCTAAACACCCACTTGAGCGTGTGTCCTATTTGATTATTTCTCATCTCCAACTAAGCATTGTTGAAATTGTACACTGATCTTGATACTCATGAAACGTTAAATATCTCTTTCTGTCAGAAGAATAAAATTTTGCATTCTTTCATTCCAACAACCTCAGCTCTTCCGTTTCTACTGTTCCAATCTGAACCCATGTGCTGTCATTTCTCCCTTTGAAGAATCTTTTTAGCTTTCACCATGGACATTCACTCATTCAGGTTCTTCGTTTCGGATCTGGATTATCTTTGCAGCATCTCAGCTTGACCCAATGATATAAATGCCTTTTAAAAAATCTATCTAAGTCAAAATTCTCAACAAGCCTGATAAAAACACTTTTAGTAAAAATCATACTTGTTCAAGAACCTAAAGAAGCTTTTTATCACTTAAAACTTCAAACCCAAACCCTAAATTTGTCCATTATTCCAATAGCATTAATTCCTAAATATCAGTAAATATTTTGCTTTAATTTGATCTCTCATTGTTCCCTCAACAACACCATCCCTTTCAAGCCCTCTCTCTGTATCTTCCCTTCCTTTTTTTGATCCTCTAACACACACACACACACACACACACACACACACACACTCTCACACAACTTATACTTAATCACACATACCTATGTCATGTTTCCAGGCTCAGTCCTTTAGTTTAATTTCTCATATTATTAAATCAGAGTAGAATTTCTAGTGGTGGACCTAGGCATTGGTTTTGGTTTTTTTTAATTAAGCAGTTATTTTCAATGTGCAGCCAAGCCTGAGAACCAAGACTTTCTCTTATGCTTTTATTTTCTGGAAGATTTTGCTTCTATTTTCCCACTGAAATTCTGTCCACATTTCAAGCCTTGATTCAAATCCATTTTTTTCTGATTACTCCAGCTCACTCCACTCTGTTTCTTCTTTTGCACTTTTAACTTTTACCCAAGAATTGTTATTTATTGTTTCCTATTTAATTTTTGCTCTTTCATGTTCCAAATGTGTTGTGAAATCTTTGATGCAGGGAAACTGTCTGAAATATTTATTTACACCCCCACATGCCCACTGCTCTTGAAAATGCTGGACTCATATAAGCCCATCACTAGGTGAGTTTAGTCAGACTTGATCCGAATGTGTGAGCATAATGAGAGAGTAAGAAGGAATTAATCTACCTGCCTATTCAGCCCCCAGCTACCACAGGCCTGCGGGAATCCTGAGGCTGACATGCTTCTCATAGTGAGCTCTACGTTCATGATTTCTCCTCGACCATGATCTTTTTGACTCCAAGGGAAGACAGATAAATTGGAGTAGGTTTGAGTCTCAAGACATCCCCTGGCAAAGATGGATGGTGTGCCAACATCAGTAGCTCCTGCATGTGACCCCTGCTCAGACCGCAGGTAAACTTTCATCTCCCTGAATTTTTTTCCATCAGAACAGAACTAATTTCCTTGTCAGTGTTATTATCAGTATGGAGTGGGCAAGAGGCACCACTCTTTCATGAGCTTCTTCTGTCAGCCAGAACAAAAATTTCATTTAATTTATGAATCTTTGGTTACAAACATATCTTTTAACTAAACAGTGGAATGTACTTTATTTTCAAAAGGAGTAAATCATTTGCAGAGAAAAATCTTTATGAACAAGTGCCTCTCCTTGTCATCATCACCCCCATCGCCACGTATAGGTAATCACAATTAGAGCTTCAAGGAATTCAAACTAATTTGACATCACTTTCTGTTTTTAATGCATATCGTCTTAACTATATTTGTTCCTCCTGGTGCTTAGACTTGGGTCTGGCACTTAATAGGAGTGCGATAAATACTTGTAGAAAGCTCAATAGATTAAACTTGAAGTCTTTTCACTTTGGCAACTATAATGTCTGCTTCACTGCCATTTCTAGTCAAAACAGCAACACAAATAAGAAAGATTTATGGAGGAGAAGAAGAAGGAAAAAAATAATGGTTATGTGGGGGGAGGAGGGAAAAGTAAATAATCAATTTTCAAAAGCATCGCATGGTATACACAGAATCCCATTCCCCATATTGCTTTGTGGTTATATTGGTAGATCGCTAGAATGAAAGCAAGAGTTATTCTTACCTGTACTATATTGCCAGCCATGCTGTAGGGGCAATCCCCATAATAGATTTTGTTCATTTCCTGGTGCAAATTTTTCAAAATATCTGGCTGTCTGGCTCAGTAGGATTTTATACATCCCCAACCTCTCCGGGTATACCCAAGGGTCAATAATGTACTTTCCATTCTCCACCCTGTAGCCACTGAACTGACCAGGACTGTCCATCCACAGAGGGGGATACAGATCTGAGAGGCTGGATACTTCTGCTAAAGCAACAGAAAAGCAGCCAACTAGTATGCAGGCCCAGGGAGGAAGGAAAGCCATTATGCCCAAACTGGGAGGTTGAGGTTGTGGCAGAGCTTTTATTGAGAAAAGGAGGAAGAAGTTATGGGGCTTATTTGCCTATTATACACCAACATATGAACACTGTTCTGTTTCCTGGGATCAATAAAATGCAGATAAGAAATCCTTTTCCACTTCCTTGATCCACATCTCTGCTGGAGGGTGCAGCCAGGCCTGTGAGGGAAACATGTTTCGCAACCAGTATGACAATGATGTCACTGTTTGGAGCCCTCAGGGCAGGATTCGTCAAATTGAATATGCAATGGAAGCTGTCAAACAAGGTTCAGCTACCGCTGGTCTGAAATCAAAAACCCATGCAGTGTTGGTTGCATTGAAGAGAGCACAGTCAGAACTCGCAGCTCATCAGAAAAAAATTCTCCATGTTGACAACCATATTGGTATCTCAATTGCAGGACTTACTGCTGATGCTAGACTGTTAAGTAATTTTATGCACCAGGAGTGTTTGGATTCCAGATTTGTATTTGACAGACTTCTTCCTGTGTCTCCTCTTGTAGCTCTAATTGGAAGCAAGACCCAGATACCAATGCAAAGATATGGCCGGAGACCTTATGGTGTTGGGCTGCTTATTGCTGGTTATGATGATATGGGCCCTCATATTTTCCAAACCTGTCCATCTGCCAACTATTTCGACTGCAGTGCTACGTCCATTGGAGCCCGTTCTCAATCAGCTCGTACTTACTTGGAGAGACTTATGTCTGAGTTTATGGAGTGTAACTTGAATGAACTGGTTAAGCATGGTCTGCGTGCCTTACGAGAGACACTTCCTGCAGAACAGGACTTAACTACAAAGAATGTTTCCATTGGAATTGTTGGTAAAAACTTGGAGTTTACAATATATGATGATGACAATGTGTCTCCATTCCTAGAAGGTCTTGAAGAAAGGCCACAGAGAAAGGCACAGCCTGCTCAACCTGCTGATGAACCTGCAGAAAAGGCTGATGAACCAATGGAGCATTAAGTGATGAATCAGTCTATATGTGTATTACCAAATGTGTAAGAATGCAAGAACATGTACCAATGACAATCATCTATACTTTGAACCAAAAAATCTGTAATAGTGACATGGTATGTTTTAAGAATCAGTCCAGGTGTGATTTTTTTCCAATCCCCTTCACTCTAAACCATATATTGTGATGCATTTTTCTTTGAGAGGGTCTATATAATCATTTTCTAGAAAGTATAGTTATCTGTACTAATGTTTTTATATAAAGAATATAGTGTCTTTGTGGTTTTAAAGACAACTGTGAAATAAAATTGTTTCACCTAAAAAAAAAAAAGAAATCCTTTTCAAAGGAAATAGGGTGTCTTTTCTGTTAAATAACATTACCAACATAGTTTGCTGTTTACACAAGAGTTTTAAAAAGCTATCAAAAATGTTAATCTTGAATGAGTAAATATTGAAAATTCTTCTAGAAAATGGTTATTCTATTTACATTGTATTTTTTATACCTCTTAAAGTGAGTACAATCTTGCGCATGTATCTTGACCTTATTTATCTAGGAATTTAAAGACATGGACATTTATTTACCTCTGCAGAAAAGAATTTACTTAGCAGATCTGTGGCTGCCTGCTATCATGAAAAGAAAACCTGCTTTGTAAGATTGGTACTTGGCTAACACTTGTGTACTTAGCTTTCAGAATTCCTAATCAATAGTTAAATGACAAGGGTGATTCACTGTTCCTAGACTGCAATCGATATGGTTTACACTAAACACCTGCTTTCCTTCTAAAGTCTGAAATTTTTATACGTGACCAACTCCCAAACCGGAGGATGCCTACGTGACCAGTCCACAATAAACAGCTTAGGCACTGTATCGCTAATGAGGATTTCTGCTCAAAAACATCACACACATGTTGCTTCACTTTTATTGCTGGAAAAAAAGTGTGTTCTGTATGACTTCTCATGGGAGGAAGAGAGCATATATAAACCTATACCTGCATTTCTCCAGACTCTGCCTGTGTCTTTTTACTTATGGTTCAGCTATGTATCCTTACTATTATACATCTCTGTAAAGAATCTTCGCAGTGAGCGTGTCCATATGATGAGTCTTTTTAGTACTTTGAGAATGTTTAAACACAGGTCCCTGACTGAAAACCTTCAGAGACCCATTAGTTCATCTCTTGTCAACGGCTAAGAAAAAAACTTTGAAAACATTTATTTAGTATGTGTATTGAATATGAAGACGACCAGCTCCTGTGGTGAATCGTGTGTCTCTAGATTCTAGAGAAAAAGACAAAGGCTAACAGGTTCTAATTTCAGGTGTATACGTCTCAACTAATATAAAAAAAGAAATTCCTGTTCATTACAATTTCATTATAAAGGAATGTACTCCCTTAAAAAGGCTTAGTTTTTCCCATGCAGAGATTTCAACTACTGTTTAGGGGTAATGTAGAGGAAATTGACATATCAGCTAACATTTAAAATAGTTAACTTTTGGAGCCCTATCTATGTCAGAACTTAAAGAATAGATAAGGAAAGCCCATAATATTATAGGTGAAACTACTTGTCAACAGAAACCATCCAGGAGTTCCTTAGTCTACCCTGATTACAAAATATATTACAAATGACATTAGGGTGCTTACTTATGATTAAAAAAAAAGCTTTAATGTATTGCACAGAAAATATGAAGGTTGATATAACTAGGAGTTAGAATAATGTGTCAAGATGTACTGAAAAGGATATGAATAATTCATTTAATAGAAGCTTCTGTCGCAAAGAAGTTTGAAGCAACAGACAGACCAAGTCAGTCTGTTGGCAAAAACTCCTAGTTATTTCCAATTTTCCTTCTCCCTGAGAATTTTAGCTAGAACAATGCACATCAAGAATTATGGCTATGGGCCAGCTGAGTGGCTCAGTTGGTTAAGAGCTTGCTCAAGAGTTTGAGCTCTGAGCAACAGCGGTTGGATGCCCGGCCCGAGCTGAGCAGCGGCTGAGCTGCCAACAGGTGGCAGGATGGCTCAGCTAAAAAAAAAAAAAAAAAGAACTATGGCTACATTTCTAGTATCCCTTGAAGAAGCAGCCATGCAGCCATGTTACTAAGTACTGACTGCAGGAACATACATGGAAACAATGTCCACATTTCCCTTAAACAAAAAGAGGACATGCCGCTTTCTCATCCCTTCCTGTGTGGTGTGGCTTGTATTGCGGATTTGATGGCTAAAATTCCATTTTGACAAGAAAGGATAACTATCTTGGGGATACCAGAATGCAAAGCTTGAGATTGTGTGAGTCCCAGAGAACTTAGAGCCATGAGATATTCCTGAATCCCTACATCTGGACATTACCTGGGAGAGAAATAATTTTCTATCTCATTTAAACCACTGTTATTTGGGTTTTGCTTACACATAATGACAATGATTACCTCAGTATCAATAAGCAGTACATCTAGAGAGCCCAATTATTAGCTCATTAGAAACCCCTGTTTCATAGCAGGTCAAAGGCATGGCTTACTCCTGGCATGGTCCAGATTAAACATCCCTCAGCAGGATTCAGCTGCTTCGCTCCGGCCATCTTATTTATCCAATAGACTTCTGATCATTTGTTATTCAACCCTCTGAGTACATCAATATAAAAGGGAAGTATTAGAAATTGTTGTTATGTTCTAGATCAAGAACACAATCATTCTGCACATTAAAACAATATATATTTCACCTTTATAAAATAAATATATGGATATATATTATAAGACATACTTTTCTAAAAGCAGCTGCCAACATCGTACGAGGTCAGACAATTACATTTGTGAACTCATCCTAGAAAAAGTGCTACATACCTCATTGCTGAATATCACTATGGTCACCTTCGAAATACTCCCCTTGGGGAGCTATGCATTGATGCCAGTGCCTAGTCCACCCTTTAAAGCAATTTTGGAACTCTTTTCCTGGGATGGACATCAGAGCTGTCATCATATTACCCTTGATGTCTTCCTTTCAATATTACCTTTATCTTTGGGCAAAGGAATAAGTTATTAGGGGCCAGATCAGGTGAGTAGGGAGGGCATTCCAATACAGTTATTTGATTACTGGCTAAAAACTCTCTCACAGACAGTGCCATCTGAGCTTGTGCATTGTTGTGATGCAGCAGCCATGAATTGTTGGTGAAAAGCTCAGGTCGTTTAACTTTTTCATGCAGCATTTTCAGCACTTCCAAATAAAAAACTTGGTTAACTGTGCAGTTGGTACAAATTCATAAAGGATAATTCCTTTGATAGCAAAAAAAAGGTTAGCAACATCATTGAAACAAGTTCGTGAACTTAATTGTCAGACTTCTTATTGCTGGGTTCAATTTGTAATATTACAATTAGTGTTTCAGTTCAGGAGGCACACTGGTGTGCAATTTTCTGTTCTTGTTTTCAGTGATGTTAACAGTGTAGTCTAAGCCTGATAAATTACTTGAGATTTACTATCTCTTTTGCTATTTTCAGAAAAAGTTTGTGTAAGATTATTTTTTCCTTGGATGTCTGAGAGAATTCATTGATGAAAACATCTGGGCCTGGAAAGTATTTATTGGGTATAGGGAAAGACTTTTTAAAATTACCTCTTCAATTTATTTAGTATATGGCTATTCAGATTTTCTATTTATTTTTGTGCTAGTTTGTGCTTTAATCTTTCAAGCAATTTATCAGTTTTTTTCTGTTTTCCAAGTTGTTGGCATAAGGCTCTTCATGTTATTTCTTATTAAATGTTGGTAAAGTACGTGGTCATATTCCCTGTCTTCTTCCTCATATTGGTAATTTGTGTCCTACTTTCTTCTTCATCAATCAAACTGGATATTTATCAATTGTATTGATATTTTTGAAAATTATTGGTTTCATTGATTTTCTCTGTTCGTTCACTTTATATTGGCAGTGCCAAAAAATGTATACACATGATTATATTCATCTTTTGTTATTGGTATATATTCAGTATTACAATTTTATTACAGTTTTTTCCTCTCTTAAAATGCGTATCATTTTTTTGGC